TTGGGGTATCGTACGAACCCAAAATCCCAAACCTAGCCTTCCCTACCTTCTATTTATTCCATAGACTGTATCATGCAACAATATGAACTGTGGCTGTGTGACAGGATTGTAGACTTAGTCTCTGAGCTATGATATGCAGAAGATATTTTTGTCAATTTGCAGTAAATGAGACTGCAGCAGTTGTACCTGTGTTGTGTATGACTCTATATCTTATACTCTGTAAGATGGTAGTGTCCATTTTTGTGCATCACCCTCAGTACCTTTAACCAAAGTAATTTATGCAGACAAAAAAAAATAACATTGGGCACTTTCCGAGGGGAGGATTGATAGGGATCTGCCTCCCAACACTCCCTGCAAATATTGTCTTCACCTCAGTATGCACAGTGTTGGCTGCAATTTTTTGTTCTCTACAAGAATACCATCTTCAATTTACCCTACCCTAGTGCATCCATACCATAAAGATTAACCCAATTATCATTCAAATTTTACTGCATGATATGATCCAATAATAAACATTATACTGCTATCATTAGACTTACACCTGTGAACATTTTGGCAAAGATAACAAAGCTTGAGCCTCTATTAATCTTACATGATACAGCTCTCCGCCCATATAATCTCAAAAAGGAGTCAAAACAAGCTCTATCATACTATGATATATATGTGGCAGAGGTTTCTTGGTCTTTGCCATATTACCGTTCAAAGCATAGAGGCTGTGGCGATCACCTTTCACAGTGCCATTATTGCATTGAACTTTAAATTGTAGGCCATTTTGGCTGACCATGGTAAATGACTAGAACAGAGTCAGTATTTATAGTTTTAAGTGACTTAGCTCATGAAGTTCCAGGTTCCTTACAATCCATGATTCTGATCTAGTAAGTTTATTTTTTTCCAAATTATTTATTTACTGTTGCTTGTTTTATATTCAACAATAGAGTTTGGAGGAGACTGAGGTCCAGCTTCTTAACATCATTCACATTTAAGAAACTCCAATTCAAGTTTTCATTGAGTTATGATTTTTGTATGTTCCTACTCATACATATTCACATCTGTCTTTCACTTGCCAACTTGTCTCAGTACTGCAGTGCTTAAAGATTATTTTATTAATTATCTGTACTAGAGAGGGAGAACCAGTACATCACCAAGGAACTAGAAGCAGCCATTGAGTGCATAAGGAAAGAGGATGTAAAAAGCACTTCAAGTTGTCACCTTGTCCGCCTAGCAACGTCTGCAGTTCAAGGAGTCCATGATGGAGATGCAAATGCACATGATGGTCACACAGTTACCCTTTGGCATGAGTGGTCCAAGCCAGATGCACTTGATGAATACTATGCCAGCGTGCAGAGAGAAGAGAGGGAACCCAGTGAGGCCCATGATCAGGAACATATATTCAGGTATGAACATTTATGTTATATGTATGTTTTACACAATTTGTAGAATGGACAAAGAACCAGACAGTTTCATAAAACAAAATTTTTTTTTTCGTCTTCTTCTTCAGGTATAATGATTTTTTTCTTCTTGCTGAGGCAGTACACAAGTTTGCTGATAGTTTAGAAGACACAGGAAGTTACCTGCTCTATGTCTTTTGGTGTGTGGACAAATACGTCCCAAATCCCAGGTATGTTATGGAATTCAGTAGTATTCAGTTAGAATGATAAGGGCATAAAACAGGAAGACATCTACATAAAAAAAAATTATGATATAGATAGTTGATACTTTCATATATATATTTTTTAACTGTCCAACAATTATCTAAGATTTCTTTTATTATCTTGCAGTGAAGTTCCAGAATTTTATGGCAGTTTAAGAAGGCTTGAACAGTGGCACTTTGGTGGCTTGTACATCTCTTGTGCAAATCAAATGTTAGTGTCAGAATGGCCAGACTATTTACCACTTCACGTCACTTCAGGTTGTTCCCAGGTGAGTTTCATAAACTTCATGATTCCAGGATTTGAGAGGGGTAGATAGTTTGAAGTAAAGCTTTTTTTTTTCCAACACAGATTGCTTCCCCAATATAATGATATATGTGGTAAAATAGTCAAGGGTACATCTGTTTACTATGGCTTTGTTTTTTCTCCCAAGATAATAGAGACTATTGTAAGCACCATGTGGAGAGGTCAACTGGCAGTCACTGAAGAAGGAACAGGGAGTTCCATGGTTCTCCCTGAATGTGTTGTGCAGTGCATTAGTGGCCAGCCTGCATTGGGAGCCGATCCAAAACAGGTTTGGCAGCTTCTATGAATGTGTGCTTAAATTGGTGATAAAAATGATTTTATTTGAGTTTCCAAAAATATTTAAAGTCTGGTTGAATGGGTCATGTCCATAAATGGCTAATCATTTTAAGAACTAAATTACTATGCCAGAATGCAGAAATGTGTCAGATTTTTTAATTAGATATTTACGATTAGTTTCCTAAAATGCTTTAAATTTTCACCCATACCTTGTGAATATTAGGTTTAATGTCATTTATTGTATACTGTGCACTCAGTGGCTCATTGGGCTAAGGTACCCAAGTGCTGTTCTTAAGGGGGAATGTGTGACACATGGTGTAAAAAAAAAAATTGCTAATCTCAAACAAGTGCTCATAATGTCCCTCAACCATTTAGAAATCATTTCTGTATATTGTGCAGAATTATAGGCAAAGCAACATGGCTGTATGACATTTAAAGGGACAAAGGTTCTAAAGTCCAGGTATGGGAGCAGGGTAGTTTGGTAATTTATCTCTCAAATATCTCATCAAAACAAAACAGCTTCAACATTTAATTTTCACTATGGTGTACATCCTTGTGTAATATAATTGATTTTATCCTCAAAGATGATTGTTATCTGTTTTTCAGGGACCTTTGTACATCCTGCCAACAGCAGAAGTAGTAGCAGACTTCGACATTGGTACCCTGCCTTGGGTATACCTGCGTCATGGAGGCATATATGACATGGTGCCAGCACTGCACACAGATCCTGAAGAACAAGAGGAAGTTGTGGCTATGTTAGATGTACTGACTGGTCAGGCTGGTGTAAGTGATACCAATGCAATACTTAGATGTATCTACTTCTAAATCTGTCTCCTAGAACCACCGTAGCAAAAGTCCCCCCCCCCCCCCTTTTCATATGATATATTGTTTACATTTCCTGCCTTTTCTTAATGTTGCCAAACTTCAGTTGCTGGAATGTCAAGGCAAAGTGCAACAAAAAACATATATTATTTCAACTCGCCCAGATTGCAACACTGGTTCGCCTGAGGTACTCACCCCTGCCCCCAGTTCTGGAAGGAGTCAAGTCACTCACCACAGAAGAATGGAAACGATGTAATGTGGAAGGACAGTTTGAGTTAACACCGAGCTTGCACTTCAAAGGTTACCATCTCATTCTTAACATGATCATCCTGAGTGAGGGAGCACAGAAAGGAAAGGTTGGTATAGCATATTTCACTATTTTCATATGTGGGGGAAGCTTTCTGGGTGGCCAAAATGTTCATGTTTGGGCTTCCTGTGTTTTTTTTATTTGCTTTTATGACTGGAGAGGATCTGGTAGTACCAACATCTCTGAATATTTAAAAAACTGAGTTTATTTTTGTCAGATTAGAAAGGGAAAAAAAAGGAATGAGTGATTCCTCTCTTTTGTAGATATAGTAATAGTATTCTCACTAATATCCTATTGGTTGTCTGTCCTCACAGGCTCTTCTAGTAAGCCTACAGGATCCAAGTGCTTGTGGGGAAGATGTAATAAAGTTCTTCAGTAAAGCGAATCTTCCAATGCAAGTAAGTTGTTCACTTTTTTGCCTCTTTCATTTTATTAAACGTCTTTACTTGTTGATATACTTTCCATCTTTGGTACAATGCTAGCTATTTTAGCCATGTATTTTTAGTCCTTTAGTACTATGGGTGGGTGAATAAATGCAAAGTAACAAGCCAGAATATCTGTGTTCCTGTAAGTAATCTGAAATCTAAAAGTAACATATATACAAAAGAAATAACCAATTAATCAAACATGACAGGAAGATAGGATGAAGCAACCTTGCCAAAGGCACATCCGCACTACAGAAAAATCTTTTTGTCACTGACTAATCTTACATTTTGAATTAATGACTTGATTCCTGTTTGTGTATGATATCTATATGCAAGAGTCTCTGAATTGTTTTATTGTATTGTAGATGCATCTTTAGCAAGGCTGCTTAGTTATTTTTTCCTGTCATGCTACTTTTAGATAATTGGGTTCTTTTCTTTGCATAGATGTTATCTTTATCTTGACTACTTATAGGAAAAAATGTTTTGGCATATTTATGTAAATGTAAGTTTATGATTTGGAGGAAAGTATCTTCAGTCACAGGAAAAGAAAAAAATAGTCCTAGTAAGCTTAGGGAGAGACAGAAAAAGGACAAAAAAAAGTGTCCATTAAATCACACAGACTGTCAAAGGTATCATTATTTTGCTTTTATAATTTTCAGAGAGAAAAGAATCCCCCTGAGGAAGAAAAGCAAGTCATGGAGCTCCTGAAAGAGACACCTGCACTATCCACTCTCCATTTGGCTGCGTTCTCACATCTCTCTCTCAATCTTCCACAAAAGGTGCTAAATCAGATTTTTTCTGTTTGGTTACAAATGTTGTTAGACTATATAGAACATAGTATTACTTTAATTGCTCTGATTAATAAATTTTAGGTTATGTAAAATACAGTCTATATTCTTTTCTACTTTTTGAACAGTTTAATTGCATTTTGCTTTTGTTTTTAAGTGTGTTTGTATTCCTTAGAGTCCATGAGTGCTTTTTGTAAAAGATTTGCTTGCAAGATTAGATTCAGCATTTGATTTCTGCTTACGAAATTGCAGTACACTAAAATTTGTTTTTTTCATCCTTCAAGACAAGGAATCAAGATTAGGGATAGAACTTCCTCTCTAAAATGAAAGTATTTTAATAATTGCTAACCCCTTCTCAAGCGAGCATATAGGAGAGGCATATTATATATCTCTCTCTTTCTTTTTTTCTTTCTTTCTTATTTACTTTTTTTTTCTATTTTCTTTTTGTTTGCCAGTATTTTGAATTTATGACAACTCTTGAGATGTACTAAATACTTTGCTTTCCTTGATATATGTTCTGTAAGGTATGGAACTCTTTGCCTGTTGTCAAGAGTTAAACAACTCTTTAACAGCCCTAATTTATTTATCATTTCTGTTAGAACTGTCAAAGACAAACTTTGAAAAGGGTTGGGCACAAAATAATATAAGTGCTAATGGTAACCAGATCTGAGAGGTGAGGATTAGGTATGAGTGGACTGCAGGTTGTGCTCTCAGAATGTTAGCAAGTCATTGATATTGTTGTGAAACATATAAAAATCTTTTAAAAAGCATAAGCATATCTCTTTTGCCAAAATACTTAAACATGTGTAAACCAATATATAAGCAGCATAGAATCAGAAACATTAATGAAACCAAAAAAAAAAGAAGAAAAGAAAAGAAAAAAAAGTTTACATTTGCTAAAGCTGACCCATCACTGGGTCACATTGCTAAATAAAATGAAGCATCATGACTCATCCAAGGGGCACATTGCCTGAATTACATCTGAATTACATGACATAATTATGCTTGTTACAGGAATGCATTGTGAACACATGAAGGGGAGAACACATGAATGAAGAAGGAATTGTATTTTTTTGTTATTCAAATGAAAAACTAACAAGTCAGGATAATAACTGATGCATAAATGACATGAGGAGGGAAAGAGAAATACAGGTGCATAACATATGTAGTCTATTAACTCATTGCTGTTGGGGATGGCATATATGTACATGCCATGTCCATTGTGGGTTTAGTTTATTAATTGTCCTTACACAAAGATGACTCCATATGTGCTTAGTCACAAAGGAGTCAGTTGCTAGTACCTCCTATCTCACCTGTTTACCATTTTTCTTGCTTTTTAAGAATAATCTCTTTTATCTTATATTAATAATATATGATGGTAATTATAATGTTTGTAATTGCATTTTGTGGTGTTCAGTTGCCATAGGTATGTAGCTTGGTTGAGAAGCCCAGCTTATTGAGTGAAGCTATTAGTTCATGACACCATGCTGAATGACCAAGAATAATCTGCAGGGGACACCCAGCATTTAAGGATTTGTTCGTTTTTCTTCTTCTTTTTTTATTCTCTTATAATAGTTATTGTTATTTATTTTTCTTATATCTATTTTTTTTATTTTCAGATTAGTGGCCGCTTAGCTCGAGCTGGTCGACCCGTACATGAATTGGATGAAGAAACAAGAAGAGAGCTGGAAGCAGCAGCCAGTGAAGAGTTACTAAGATGTTTATTGCTGATGCCAGCACATCGGGCTGAACTGCCAGAGAGTAGATTACCTGTCTTGCCAGGTACATTAAAAGAAATTCTTTTGTAGTTTTGGTGTTGAACTAATTTACTAATTTTTTCTATATTTTTGTCTGTAACACTGACCAGACATTAACCTGTTGGATCTGGGTGTCTTACAACCTACATATAACCCACAATCTGGCCATAAGGCTTTCTTGAGAGGTGACTCTACAAGGTGTGTGGCTTGTATCCCTAGCCCACATAAACACTTATGTGCAATGTCAACTCTCCTTGCCTGCCCTTTGGAATGTTATTATCTCTTATAATGTATAAGCAGTTTTTGCATTTTTTTGCCATTTTTCAAGATCTATTTTATTCATTTGATATGCTGTATCCAGCTAGTGACACTGTTTTCCTTGTGCAGACTCCATATCATCTCTCTAGGTAGTCCACAACACTACAATATCAGTAACAATAAGTAATGTTTTGTTATTTATGTCATTTTTTATATTTTCATATTCAGTTTTCTGTAACACTACACTATCAGTCACAGTAAACAGGAATAGGAACCTGAGCATGGATATAGTGTTCTCCCTGGAGCTGGTGCTCTTTCAGGAACAGTTCACAGATGCCCAATGAGTCTAATCTTCCTCCCAAAGTTTGTGCGAGAATGAGTGCACAAATGGAGGTGTCTCTCTGGCCTTTTCATGACATCATATTCCCTTCATCCCAACCATCAAGGCAAATATCTCCATGATGGCATATTCCTGTCAACTGGCCCTCAGCTAAATTTTTTTATGACATGACTCGCATCACCCAGATCCAATGGGTTAAATTACGGAATTGAGTTTGTGGCTTCATGACTTTAGGAAGTGAATTAATAACATTGTTAGCTGATTTTTTGCAATGAAGTGACCAAACTTTTTTCTTTATTCTTGCAGAGACCAGCATCAGCACCACACAGTGGCCAGAGTACGTAGCTTTAGCCGAAGCAGAAATAGAGGCAGAGAGAAGTCTGCAAGCTAAGCATCAAGCTGGTAGGTATTTGTGTGCATGCGTGTGTCTGCCTGTCTGTCTGTATTGTTTGATTAAGCTGCAGGAAGTAACACCCTTTTTTTGTTATTCTTAAATGTGTTTCTGTTTTCAGGTGATTTGTTAGGAGGGCTGGCCCCACCACCTCCACCTGATGCCATACTTACACTTGAAGCTGCACAGCTGACAAAGCTCTTCACCAAAAGTGGGCAGCCTTCAGAGAGAGTTCGGCAAAGAATGACCAAACATGGTAAGCCCAGTTTTTTAGTTGTCTTGGAAAAATGGCAGGTTATATTTGTTCATGATTTATTTATTGTATTTTGGCTGACTTTACTGTTTTGCCTCAGAAATAGAAAATAGTTAAGCCTTTATATTTTTTTAAGTACAAGTAAGCATTCGCCCATCCCAGTACATAAAAAGAAAAAGGAAATATATATATATATACGTACATACATAAATATATATATAAATATATATATAAATATATATATAAATATACAAATACATTATACATATATATATACGTATATATATATATATGTATATATATATGTATATATGTGTATGTAAACAAAATCCAATTGATTATATATTTTTTATTGTTTTCACAGTATCATGTGGCCCATACCCTTTTAAAAGCAAGTTGTTGCTGCATGAAGTGAAGGGTTTGCTCTGGCCAGAGGCGCTCTACGCACGTCACCATGGCATTTAGTAAGTTTCAGTATTGGGTTATTAATGTCCTTAGTAAATAATCCAGAAAAGGTTAAATGAACATGCAACATTTCAGAATGTGAAAGGTGGAGGGAAAAAAGGGAATAAGTGAACTGAGTATAATGCAGTTTTCACTTGTTGCATAGAATTTGTATACCTTCTTCATGTTTGGCTACTATTTTCTAAAGACTATAATTTATAGCAGTTTCATATAGGATTTCCATGATAAAATAGTTTACATTTCTTAGTATATCCATCAGCAACCTGCTTTCTCCTTTAACTAACCCAAGACAAATTTCATTATTTTTTTTCTCCCTCTTCTTATGAATGCTTTTTTTTTCACATTCATCATTATTTGCATCTGCCTTCATTTGCTTCTCAAAATTCACAGTTACAATGTAGACGAGCGACATGAAAAGTTCGCCGAGCATTGCAACCAGGTTAGGGCTCGATATATCAGACAAGAGACTGCATCTACTTGTACAGTCTTCCAAGACAAAGAAGTTGCCTATGTCACTGTCTCATCCCACAAGCTTGCCAGGTAAATATATAAGCCATACTTCCACCTCTTACCATTACTGCTCTCTCTGCCTTTCCTATTTTATTTTGATATCTATTGTATTTTTAATATTTCTTTTCCCTTCCTTTTCATTAGTAAAGATAAAGACCAGAAAACTACAAAATCATCCAAGGAGGACCAAGGTAGAACTGGAAAGAGATACAGTGCAAGACTAAATGATGTCGACACTGCAAGTCTAAAGAGTGACCACAGCTCACGGCAGCCAGGACAAGGGCTGAGACGATCTCCACGCAAGCACCCAAAGCAGTCAGAAAATATGTCAAAGAGGTAGGTTTGTCGAGGTCAGGTTATAGTCACAATAAGTAATATAACATATTTAATGATGTATTTATACTTGATAGAGACTTGTGCATAAACTTTTATCACTGAAAGAACATGTTCCTTTATAGGTCTCCTCGCAAGTCCTCTTACAAAGACGGTGACGGAAGTAGGAAATCTGCAGGGCTGGGTAATCTTATGAAGCCCTCAGACCTACTGCAACCTTCAACTGCTCGAGGACCTCTCAGGAGTGCCAATCCACAGAGCAAGAGGTATCCTAAACCAGCTGATCTCAGTGATTTGCATAAACAGGTAAACATCTTTTCATGCATTTGTGATAACTGATGTCCCTTCTTTTCTGTTTTGTCTTCCTGCTGTTGTTTTTTCTTTTCCCCAGACCTGCTTCCTCTAACATTTCCTTCTCTTCTACCTCTTTATTTGAAATATTGGTTTGCATTAATACAGGTGATTCCTGTGATTTATATATATGCCCAAAATTTATTAGTATGTCAATATGTCAACTACAGATTATTCCTTCAGAAAACAAATAAACAATAGAAATAGTAATAAGAATAAATACTGTAGTAATAAAGCTGACAAAATTAAAAGCCACAAGAAGCTCAACCCACAACATGGTAACCCATCTCTTCCACCCACCAGAAACTGCGAATGGCGGTGGTGGAGGCTCTGGACCAAGAGGGAATAAAAATGAAGGATCCCCTGTTTAAGGTGTGCTTTAAGAAGCTGTTCACTGTCTGCCGACCCTTTGCCCTTGATGTCATCGGCCAGGGCTCAACAAGTCGCAATATGGAGAAAATTGCCAAGTCTCATGTCAAGCAGGTCATTGAGTTTGAGAGATTTAAGACCAAGAAGAGATAAAAATTCTTTAAGTATATGCATTGTGATAAATACTTTACTATTTACCAGTGTTTGTGATGTTTTTCTTTTTCTTTCAATTCCATCAATCGTAATGTGTTTGTATAGGTCATCAAAAGAATTCAGCATAATCACAAGAACTATTACTTCTATCTATGTACACCTAGAATAATAAATATATTTTGTACAGTACTCAGAATATATATATTTTTTTCCCACTCCTTTGCATACTTTTACAAGCATTTTTATTACTTATTATGTACAAATGTAAATGTAATTTTCCAATAAAATAACCTACCCATACCTATTTTTTAGAATTGCTAACCTATCTAAAATTCTGTATTTATAATTAGCAACATCTGCTGACATGGTATAAATGATGGCTTTATAAAAGAAAATGCAGATGAGAATTAGTACTATATCCAGATGTTCTCTTCAGCAGTGAGAAAATTCACTAGTATTCCAAAATGTTTTGTTCTCCAAGTATAAAATTGTGTTGGTTAAATGTCTGAAAATTGTTGCAAACCCATGAATCATTTGTATTTATATATCAAATTTTCAGTGAGAATGAGAGTATAGAGACATTCATGTTTAGTGTATGCTTCTTTTTGTTCTTTAGCCCAATGCTGCTAAGAACATGTAATGTTGACTGAAGTATTGTTTTGTGTAATGTATTTACACATAAATTGCTTCACAATCACAAAGCCACCAAAGAATCAATTTCTCCTTTCCATGAGTTCTGGGAAAGTGTATTTCTTTTATTAGAAGATGGAATGGAATGTTTAGATTGTCTGGTGCAACAGGTAGAGTGAGAAGAAGGAAGGGGAGGGGTAGGCACTGGGAAGTGGTAGAGATTGGAGTATCTGGATTTAGACTAGAAAAGGAATTTGACTAGGGGAGAGAGGCATTAGTGATAGGTTGATTTGGGGTAGAGGAAAGAGATACTGGGGGAGATAGTGAGATTTCTTGAGAAGATGGGATGGGAACAGACCGAAGTGGAATAGGTAGAATGAAAAAGACCTCATTGGCATGCTTCTTGTCTGGCCTCACGTAGAGTCAGGCCTAGTTTGAATCTGATAACTGCTACCTCAGATTTGAGCTTGTAGGCAGGGCATCTATAAAATACACTGGGAGCCACCACAATTGGCACACATGCATGATTAAGCAGAACAATGATCATGACCAGGTTGGGCAAATGGAGGGCAGTGGGTTGTGGAGCGAGTGTTTGGCTGGGTAGCCTCCATGATTCCCGGAGGCCGTTCATGACACAAAGCCAGCCTTTCATCTTTTCAGCACAGCTCTCGCACCTTAGAAAGTGGACAGAAGAAGGGGATGATGAAGAAGAGGTAAACGAAAGGGGGAGAAGAAAAGTCCCCAGTCTCCATCTCCTATGCCCCCCCCCCCAACAACAGCAATAAGCAAGGGATTAGGGGGAACAATATAAATTGCAATATTAAATAAAGAATACTTACTAAAGCTAAGAGAAAGGGTAAACAGGTGTGTAAAATATGATTTGTCATTGACTTCTTGGTGATTAAGCACTTGTGGTGGGATCTATGTGCTGGCAATTGATAAACTAAATTCACAGGGGATAAGACATGTATGTAAATACATATTTCCAGTGGCATGGTTTCATTGTCTTGTGAATTACAATTATATTTTCCAGCCAGTTCAGCATTTACTTTTTAAAGTCCTTCCATTTCGTCATAGGTTTGTCATTGAGAATGAACTATATGTATAAGTATGTTTGCTAAGTAATTAAAGCTAATAAGAAATATGCCAAGATATTTCTAAAGGTAATAACCACTAATGAGTGACAACAAAGCGGCAATACGAGCACTATATGACCACATGGGATCTGGGTCATTCCTCGCTGTGTCTAAAGTAGAGAGATTAAAGCCAGTGATCCATCCCTGGCAATAGTAGTCTTTTTTGCTTGGATGTAAGTGGAAGTGGAAGTTCTGTGTACTATCACTAAACTAGCCAGTCACTAAACTAGCTGTTGGGTGTAATAATTAAAAAGTAAAATTTATTTCAAAATCCTAATTTAACCCATTGCCAACAGACATGTCACGTACATCCATGCCATGCCCACTGTCAGTTTACTTGTTAAATTTTTTATACACATAGATGGCTACACTTGTAAGTCACTAATGAGCTAGTTATGAGTAATGCCTGTCTCGCCAGTTCACCCTTTTCATTGAAAAAAAAATAATAATAATAATGATAAATATAAAAATAAAAATAACACCATTGATATTCATAGAGCTAGTAAAAAATACCTTTTTTTCCAGCCAATTCAAGGTGAAATCAGGTAAGGTCACAAGATCTACTAATCGACTCCTTTGTGGCTAAGCGTTAGCAGAGCCATCAATGTACAGAGACATTTCACAAAGATATAAAAATTACGCATTGCATTTTCCCCATTTTTTATTCATTTTCCCCGGTAGCAATGGGTTAAGAATTTAAGGCATTATTGACCTGTTGTTATACAGGCCCGGATCCAGGGGGGAGCGTATGCCCCCCACTATTTTTGGGGCTTCGTTGCCTTCGGGACTCGCAATGGTCTCGGCTAGGGTTACGCCCCGGCCCCTGGATCCGGCCCTGTTATATATTTGAGAAACCATCTTCATGCCTGCAGCAAAATATCTACTTATACTAATTTTTTGAGATATTTCATGTAATACTGGCTAAGATGTTTAGTAAGGGTCCTAATTTAACCCATTGCCAACGGGCATGGCACGTACATCCATGCCATGCCAACTGTGAGTTTACTTGTTAAATTTTTTTCACACATAGATGGCTACACTTGTATTAAGTCACCAATGAGCTAGTTATGAGTACTGCCTGTCTCGCCAGTTCAACCTTTTCATTGAAAAAATAATAATAATGATAAATATAAAAATAATAAAAATAACACCATTGATATTCATAGAACTGGTAAAAAATACCTTTTTCCAGCCAATTCAAGGTGAAATCAGGTAAGGTCACAAGATCTACTAATCGACTCCTTTGTGGCTAAGCACTAGCAGAGCCATCGATGTACAGAGACATCTCACAAAAATATAAAAATTACGCACTGCATTTTCCCCATTATTTATTCATTTTCCCCGGTAGCAATGGGTTAAGAATTTAAGGCATTATTGACCTGTTATACAGGGCCGGATCCAGGGGGGAGCGTATGCCCCCCCCTATTTTTGGGCTTCGTGCCTTCGGGACTCGCAATTGTCTCGGCTAGGGTTACGCCCCGGCCCTGGATCCGGCCCTGTTATATATTGAGAAACCATCTTCATGCCTGCAGCAAAATATCTACTTTACTAATTTTTTGAGATATTTCATGTAATACTGCTTAAGAAGTTTTAGTAATGGACTTTTGTTCAACATCACTTAACGAAAATTTATATGAAGTGAATAGCTGATGTTTTCTAAAGTTACAATAAGAGTATTTCAGATGACACAAAAAATGAACCAGATGAAAACCCTTCCTTCCCATCTATAGTTTGTAGGCATTTTTAGACCAGTTCTATTCAGAAATCCTTGAAAGTAGCTAAAAAATATTTTAGGATGTTACAAAACTACAATGCTAAGAATTAAAAAGTAAAGAAAGAAAAAATTAATGCTTGCGCAAAGACAAGTATTATCATAATGGTCCAGTCTTGTGCTTCAAAATAATGTTTAATTACTGCAATCATATTATTATTATGTTTCACCAAACAAAATAAGAAATAGATAAAAATAAAAACTGATTATTTATAAATCAGAAATGTGTATCAGTAAGTTCTATTTCATGAATTTTCATTTCTTATACAAGAGACAGCTAATGACCCCAAAACTACAAACAGCCCCTGTGCTTATTGACCCCTTTTGACTCCCAGGCAATTATTAAGCCCTTGGACAGTCACATCTATCCCTAGGGGTTGATAAAAGCCACCTTGGAGACCCCTGCCCTAGAAGGACCTTTCTGCTCTGAGTTTACAGTGGTCATGTCATATAAGAAATGTAGGAAAGTCAGTGAATTGAACATGGTGTCTTTGAGACAACTGTGGATCTGTAATAACAGTTCATGATTCCAGGACCCATTATTTTCTAAAAGGTTAAAATAAATGGTGGTAAGTGCTAATTTTTATGACTTTAGATCTTACAGACAACATAATGTATAACTACATTTAATGAATAGTCATTAATTCAGCCTGACATCTTACATTGGAAATTATGTAATTCTGGGTGAAAGTAAACTGATAGAAAGACAAGATGAACATGATGGAAGTAAAGAGTATTTAAAGTAAACCGAGTGTACTCTATGTGTCAACAACATTAGAGCAAAGACACAATAGGAATTTCTGCATTATGAGTACATTTCTCTTAGTAATAAAACATTATTACTAGTTACTAAATCAAAACTAAAAATAAGATACAATAAATAAAGCACATCTCAAACTCTGGTATATGACATGAAACAAATTACAAGCACAGAGAAATATTCCTTTAAAATATTTCCCTTCATTACCAAGGTTTGAAATACATACATGTTAATAGAGAATATCCATTATTCCTTTGATATAAGTCCACCTGAGTATTCGCTGTCTCCATCTAGCTGCCCGTTCTCAGGCTCCAGCCCTCCCGATGCCTCTTCTGCTGAGAAATCCATTGCTCCCTCACTCTCTCCCTCCTCCGTTCGCTCCATTTTCAACTTTACCGCATTCCCCTCTGATTTTTCAGAGACAAAGACCCGTTTCATGTTGAGTTTCTTGTTGGTTTTGCATACATACTTGAGCATTCGGGTGGGTTTCTTGCAGAACACTGGATCACACTTTTTCACTTTCTTTTCCTCTTCCTCAAAGAAGACAGCTGTTCCCATTGTGTGGTCGTACTCCCCAGTGAAGACAAAGTTCTCAACTTGCAGGATGGGACTTTCCGACTCGATTGCAAGAATCTTGAATTTGTCAAAGGAATCTTGTGCAAATATCTCAGAATCAATGACTCCATGAAGTTCTACCAAGACCAGAGTCTCTTCTTCCTCCTACTCACTATCTGACCCAACTGATTATTTATAAATCAGAAATGTGTATCAGTAAGTTCTATTTCATGAATTTTCATTTCTTATACAAGAGACAGCTAATGACCCCAAAACTACAAACAGCCCCTGTGCTTATTGACCTCCTTTGACTCCCAAGGCAATTATTAAGCCCTTGGACAGTCACATCTATCCCTAGGGGTTGATACCAGCCACCTTGGAGACCCCTGCCCTAGAAGGACCTTTCTGCTCTGAGTTTACAGTGGTCATGTCATATAAGAAATGTAGGAAAGTCAGTGAATTGAACATGGTGTCTTTAAGACAACTGTGGATCTGTAATAACAGTTCATGATTCCAGGACCCATTATTTTCTAAAAGGTTAAAATAAATGGTGGTAAGTGCTAATTTTTATGACTTTAGATCTTACAGACAACATAATGTATAACTACATTTAATGAATAGTCATTAATTCAGCCTGACATCTTACATTGGAAATTATGTAATTCTGGGTGAAAGTAAACTGATAGAAAGACAAGATGAACATGATGGAAGTAAAGAGTATTTAAAGTAAACCGAGTGTACTCTATGTGTCAACAACATTAGAGCAAAGACACAATAGGAATTTCTGCATTATGAGTACATTTCTCTTAGTAATAAAACATTATTACTAGTTACTAAATCAAAACTAAAAATAAGATACAATAAATAAAGCACATCTCAAACTCTGGTATATGACATGAAACAAATTACAAGCACAGAGAAATATTCCTTTAAAATATTTCCCTTCATTACCAAGGTTTGAAATACATACATGTTAATAGAGAATATCCATTATTCCTTTGATATAAGTCCACCTGAGTATTCGCTGTCTCCATCTAGCTGCCCGTTCTCAGGCTCCAGCCCTCCCGATGCCTCTTCTGCTGAGAAATCCATTGCTCCCTCACTCTCTCCCTCCTCCGTTCGCTCCATTTTCAACTTTACCGCATTCCCCTCTGATTTTTCAGAGACAAAGACCCGTTTCATGTTGAGTTTCTTGTTGGTTTTGCATACATACTTGAGCATTCGGGTGGGTTTCTTGCAGAACACTGGATCACACTTTTTCACTTTCTTTTCCTCTTCCTCAAAGAAGACAGCTGTTCCCATTGTGTGGTCGTACTCCCCAGTGAAGACAAAGTTCTCAACTTGCAGGATGGGACTTTCCGACTCGATTGCAAGAATCTTGAATTTGTCAAAGGAATCTTGTGCAAATATCTCAGAATCAATGACTCCATGAAGTTCTACCAAGACCAGAGTCTCTTCTTCCTCATACTCACTATCTGACTCAACCATTTTTGCAACTTCTTTCTCTACATAAGAAAAGAAAAAAAAAAAGAATACGCACCAAAGAATAAATAAATATATATATTGTAATATGCTACAACAAAACAGATGTAATTCCTTGGTGAAGAAACCCTGACTTTACAACAAAATATTCATTCATATAATGATATAACACTTTCTCTTAATCACATCTGAAAACATTAGAAATAGACGAGAATACACTAAAATAAATCTTCAAGTTGTTAGCACTTTACATCTCGAGCATGGAAAGACTAGGTTCCTCATTTGTGTCTGTGTCCATAGCCTCCTCCTGACGGCCAGTGAAGCGGTCAAGAGTCTGGTTAATCCTTTCTAGTTCCTGTGATTTGGCAGCACAATAATTAAGATATACAATCTTCAGGCCCATAATCACGGCTAGCTTCTGCCGTAGATTATACCTTGCAGAGTGTTTTTTATGCTTAATAGCAGTTTTGAATTGTACTTCCAAATCTTGCACCTATAAAAATAAGGAGTTAATTAAGACAATTGTCATCTTACTAACAACAATACCAGCTTGCAGGATTATATTAGACACAAACAAAACCCTAAAATTTGTAAAAATATGTCAAATAAAAGTAAAAAGAAAATTAGGAATAAAATTCTTTAACTAACCTGCGAATATAATGTAGTTATGTGTCTATTTGCTAAGCTAAGTCTGAGACGCGTTTCTGCTTGCTGGCGCTTTATCGTCTCCAGGTCTTCCCCAAGTTCTTCTCTTGACATTGTATACACTGATGTCCCTGGATAAAGAAAGACAAAGATTACTCAAGAAACAGAAATAATAAATTCCTTTATATTGGAATAAACATTATTTTTTTATTCTCACCTTCAATAAAAAGGCTTTTATTATTAGTCTGTAGATATTATGATCATGATTTTATTTAAAATACTAACAGCAATAAAATATAAAATGGTTAATGGTTGAAACAAAAGAATGTGCTAGACCTTCAAGGTCATACAGCACTATGGTAAAGTATTATGGCAAAAGGGGTATAAATAAGTGTCAGGGAAGAGAGGAAAAGCAGGGGTACAGGCTGCAGTAACGTAGGGGCACGATAGTGTTCGTGGTCGTGGTCAAGCATAATATACATGGTAAAAGTTTGTTGGTCTTAACAGGAGCAAAAGGAACAGACCACATCATCCCTTTCTTGAGACCTGTGCTAATGAGGAGTATCAAAGAAAACCTTGCAACACCAGACCTGAAAATCCACACCTGTTGGCACTTAGGCAAAGGCAAACATTATTTTCTTGAATACTTTTTGACCATATGTGACCATCTCTGGTGAAACATTATGTAGGAAGGCTATAGCAATCACTTGACACTGCCTTACTATCAGGTTAAACTTAACTGAAAGCTTTCCAAGACCGATCATGTCAAGTTTCAATTGGAGTTTGGATATCACATTGGCAATCACTGGTTTTGGTCTTAGGCTGATGCAGTCCTTGATTCAAGGATTATCAAATTTTGTTTTGACAAAACATTCTTTTTGTCCCTCTGCAAAGTGACAATTACTTTTCATAATGTGGCATGTTTATTAACCCATTGCCGCCAGGGATGGCATGTACGTACATGCCTTGCCCACTGTGAGTCGACTTGTTTGATTTTTACACATAGATGGCTACACTTGTACTAAGTTGCCAACGAGCCAATTACGAGTGCTGCCTGTCTCGCCCGTTCAGCCTTTTCATTGATTTACAAAAATATTTAACGTTATCCTAATTTGCTGTTAAAAATAACACCATATATATTTATTGCACTAGTAAGAATATGTTTTTTCTTGCCAATTCAAGGAAAGGTGAAATCAGGACTAGCAGAGCCATCTATGTACAGAGACATTTCACAAAAATATGAAAAATGAGTACAGCATTTTTCCCAGTTTTTGTTCATTTTCCCCAGCGGCAATGGGTTATTAGTCATTTTTTAGGTTCTCATAGCCACATTTCAAGAATTCATGGTGTAATATGCATGAATTTCTTGTTGTTTTCCATGACAAATGATATTAGTGAGTATTAGTAATTGTTTACCTTCTAAGACTAAGTCCCTATTACTCCTGTCACTCTTGGGATGCACAAACTTTGCTGCATGAAGCAGTAACTTCCAATGCCAGGGGCACCAACCCAATTGCTATAATTTCCTACTGGCACTCTGCCCCCTGGACCTATTTTCTTGATTTCTGACATTATCCTTTGCCTGCGCAGATTATTACAAGTATCAGTGAGTGTAGTTTTGGTATAGTTTCAGTTCCCCACAGCCATGTGGTACAACGTAAAATTTGTCTGTAATGGACAGATTTATTTGATTGAAAATTTTCTGCTGTGTCATCATCTAAGGTCATTAGTAGCATGGGGGGGGTAAGGCCACCAGGTAAGAAAGTTTTTTTGGTTCACAAGCGCGGTGTTGTGGATTTCCAGAATGGTCAATAGTCAAAACAAAGAAAAATGCCAGACATCACAGGTCATATGGCAATATGACAAAGAATTGTGACAAAAAGGAGTAAAATACGTCAACAATTAGGATAAGTGGACAGAAGACAGGATGAAGAAAAAGAAAAGGAAGAGAAGAAAAGACCATACAAAAATAGTTGAGGTGAGGGGTGATCCCTACATTGGGCCTCAGTCTCCGTCTCCTGAGCCCCACACACACACACACACACATCAACAACAAGCAAGGGGTCCAAAAACAAGGCATTTTTCATCTAAGGTATTACCCTATCAAATTGGTAATAAGAACACTGTGCAACACATAATTTGGTATACATTTACAGGAAAATGTTTTGGACCTATAACAATCAAAGAGAAAACTACATTCACCAATACATGAAATAATCTGCGTAGGCAAAAAATAATGCAGGGAAATATAGCGATCGTATGGGATCTGGGAACAAAGCCCCAGGTTAAGAAAGTTTTTGGTTTAAACAGTGATATTTGTGGATTTACCAAGAATAGCCGGAGTAATAGGGACTTACTCTCATGAGCACTAAGGTCACTTTATAAACATTAGCAATACTTTCACTTCTATAATTTACAAAAGAAAATAACAAGAGATCCACATATATTACAGAATTCATAGTTGAAAGAAGGAATGGTAATTGCAAGACTGGTGGCCGTGTGAATCAAAAAAATCACCATAGTTTTCGTTTTCTTACGACAGGGTCATCGGATTTGCGTAAATGTATTACATATTCCACAATGTTCTTATATCAACTTGCAAAGGGAATACCCCTGATGAAAAGTGACGAATTTTCTGTCGTCATCTCCGCTACTGGCAAAGTTTCCCTTGTACCATATGGCTGTATGAAACTCAACCTTCGTACGATTATAGGATAACAAAACTTTTCAAATCTATTCTCATGTGGTGCCTTAAGGTTCCCACTCAAAACATATTTTGTCTACAACCATACTCCGAACTACTCACAAGTTACTAAAAAAACAAAATAACTAAAGAGATGATTGTCTGCCAAAATATGAAGAAATGAGGAAAGACAATAATTATGCATTTACTTAATTAACAAAGATAACAAAGAACAGAACAATGATGATTATTACAACTAATCCGAACCTATCTTATCAAAACCAAATCACCACAGCTGTGATTACTGTCCACATTTCCAGTTCATAATACTCTGTCTACTTTCCCTACATCAGTCACATTAAATGAACAATCGATTTTTTTTTTTTTTTTTTTTCCTGCCAATTCAAGGAAAGGTGAAATCAGGACTAGCAGAGCCATCTATGTACAGAGACATTTCACAAAAATATGAAAAATGAGTACAGCATTTTTCCCAGTTTTTGTTCATTTTCCCCAGCGGCAATGGGTTATTAGTAATTTTTTAGGTTCTCATAGCCACATTTCAAGAATTCATGGTGTAATATACATGAATTTCTTGTTGTTTTCCATGACAAATGATATTAGTGAGTATTAGTAATTGTTTACCTTCTAAGACTAAGTCCCTATTACTCCTGTCACTCTTGGGATGCACAAACTTTGCTGCATGAAGCAGTAACTTCCAATGCCAGGGGCACCAGCCCAATTGCTATAATTTCCTACTGGCACTCTGCCCCCTGGACCTATTTTCTTGATTTCTGACATTATCCTTGCCTGCGCAGATTATTACAAGTATCAGTGAGTGTAGTTTTGGTATAGTTTCAGTTCCCCACAGCCATGTGGTACAACGTAAATTTGTCTGTAATGGACAGATTTATTTGATTGAAAATTTTCTGCTGTGTCATCATCTAAGGTCATTAGTAGCATGGGGGGGGTAAGGCCACCAGGTAAGAAAGTTTTTTTGGTTCACAAGCGCGGTGTTGTGGATTTCCAGAATGGTCAATAGGTCAAACAAAGAAAAATGCCAGACATCACAGGTCATATGGCAATATGACAAAGAATTGTGACAAAAAGGAGTAAAATACGTCAACAATTAGGATAAGTGGACAGAAGACAGGATGAAGAAAAAGAAAAGGAAGAGAAGAAAAGACCATACAAAATAGTTGAGGTGAGGGGTGATCCCTACATTGGGCCTCAGTCTCCGTCTCCTGAGCCCCACACCCACCCACACACACATCAACAACAAGCAAGGGGTCCAAAAACAAGGCATTTTTCATCTAAGGTATTACCCTATCAAATTGGTAATAAGAACACTGTGCAACACATAATTTGGTATACATTTACAGGAAAATGTTTTGGACCTATAACAATCAAAGAGAAAACTACATCACCAATACATGAAATAATCTGCGTAGGCAAAAAATAATGCAGGGAAATATAGCGATCGTATGGGATCTGGGAACAAAGCCCAGGTTAAGAAGGTTTTTGGTTTAAACAGTGATATTTGTGGATTTACCAAGAATAGCCGGAGTAATAGGGACTTACTCTCATGAGCACTAAGGTCACTTTATAAACATTAGCAATACTTTCACTTCTATAATTTACAAAAGAAAATAACAAGAGATCCACATATATTACAGCATTGATAGTTGAAAGAAGGAATAGTAATTGCAAGACTGGTGGCCGTGTGAAACAAAAAAATCACCATAGTTTTCCCTTTTCTTACGACAGGGTCATCGGATTTGCGTAAATGTATTACATATTCCACAATGTTCTTATATCAACTTGCAAAGGGAATACCACTGATGAAAAGTGACGAATTTTCTGTCGTCATCTCCGCTACTGGCAGTTTCCCTTGTACCATATGGCTCTATGAAACTCAACCTTCGTAAGATTATAGGATAACAAAACTTTTCAAATCTATTCTCATGTGGTGCCTTGAGGTCCCCACTCAAAACATATTTTGTCTACAACCATACTCCGAACTACTCACAAGTTACTAAAAAAACAAAATAACTAAAGAGATGATTGTCTGCCAAAATATGAAGAAATGAGGAAAGACAATAATTATGCATTTACTTAATTAACAAAGATAACAAAGAACAGAACAATGATGATTATTACAACTAATCCGAACCTATCTTATCAAAACTAAATCACCACAGCTGTGATTACTATCCACATTTCCAGTTCATAATACTCTGTCTACTTTCCCTACATCAGTCACATTAAATGAACAATCATTTTTTTTTTTTTTTTTTTTTGTTATTGTTTTTGATGTTTTTGTTATTGTTTTAGATGTTTTTGTTATGGTTTTAGCTGCTTTTGTTATTGTTTTAGATGTTTTTGTTATGGTTTTAGCTGCTTTTGTTATTGTTTTTGATGTTTTTGTTATTGTTTTAGATGTTTTTGTTATGGTTTTAGCTGCTTTTGTTATTG